TGTTGAAGCTTCGCATGCATGCTAACAAGCATATGCAATTATAGAATTCCACATGACCTTCGATACAGAGAGAAGTACACAACCTGTCAAGTCTGTCTGTCCCAGCTAACAGCAATATCTTTGGAACAGGAGATGACAAAAACTTTTCTGAAAGGCCTTCGTACCTGAAACAAGAGCATTATAATTTCAGGTTCAAATTGACATATGCTGGAAAATGGAAAACAAGATGCTCAGCTTCCTGGTCAGCACTAGGTGTCAGACCTCTGGAAGCATGACACAGACTGCAAAATTAAGAGAACTTCTCGAGTCTACATATAGTCAATGCCATTCTAAAAGCACCGTAGCAGTTAGAGAAACCCTGACGGAATAAAAAGAACAAATTTATTTGAAAAGGAGCTTTAACTTGTGCAGCAGGTGCTATATTGTGAGACTAGCTAAGAGATTATCAGTCATTTGTTTTGCATTGCAATCATGTGATTAATTTGAGCGAACACACACTCAGAGCAGGACCACAAGCTTGGGGCTCGACGATCATAAAAATTTAACAATTAGTCCTTTTCATTCTGAGTGCTTTTAGTGTTCATAATAAATCGCAAAAGTATCTTGCTCTACTACCTTTTGGTTTGGTTTTCTTTAAAGGAAAGAGTTACAAGAATACGCACTTCTACCAATGTAGAACACTAAGCATTTTGCAGACAATTCAATGATTGAAGGCCACTTCAATAATAACTCAAACTAAGGATAAGTTTACCGTTGGGATTGACTTTGTTTGGGCAACATAGATGCCTTCCAATGTGAAGGCAGCTGTAACCAATTGGGTCGGAAAGAAATCATTGGTGTTCTGAAGAAAGATCAGAAGCAATATCTAGTGTAAATTTAGAAGTCTTCAACTAATGAATATTTGGTGTAGTAAGAAAATTATACTACATGATTTAATCAATGTATCGAACTCCAGAGGCCCCTTACATATTTAAAGGAGCAAGTCCATTAAAATCTGTAACTTCCCAGTGCTTTCTTGGTGCTGTTTAAAATATAATTCATGTCTTACTTATCATAAAAAGACTAAATATTCATTCTGTTTGACATAATAATTTTCAGCATTACCGCTATCTAGCTGAATGAATGACGACCATAACCTTCAAGATCACAAGCAAAGGAGAAGAAAAATAAAAAAGGCTTTTTCTTTTTTAAATTGTTAGAGAACCAAGAAACATTTTTTTTTTGATGAAGAGAATTTCATTAAAAGGCATCAAGAAGATGCATAGCAAAACAATACAACATAAGAGTCTTCTCATGTACAAAAACTTACTGAATAGCTAAAGAGCAGACACAAACTGAAGCATAAACTGCGCAGACCAGAACACATTTTTTCCCCCCATAAACTGAGGCTAATTGCTAAAAAACTGATGCAACACAGTCCCAAATGGCCTCCTAGGACCCTAGATACAAGATTTAGTGTTTCTAAAACAGCATAATATGTCAGGATATGCAAAAGATCTAGACTGGGCAAGCAGAAAAGAATAGCTCGTACCATTCTCTCCAATACTGCTCAGTTTCTTCCAGTCTTGCTCTATGCGTGTAACTGCAGTATCAGTGTTTGGTGATGGGAATTAGCAGCATCAAAAGCCAACACCAAAAAAAAAATATACAGAAAACCTATTCTAATCACCTAAGTTCCGAAAACAGAACTGAAAGAAAGAACTCCAGCCCCCTTCCCCAGTACCATCCCAAAAATAAAAAAGAAAGAAAGGAAGAAATGCCAAACATATCACATGGTTACGCACCATTTTTTTGATTCATCATATTTCAATGTGTTGGGGATTGATACACGAGCAGAGTCAATATTTCTCAAAGAGCCTGATTTGACACTCCATTCAATCTGTAGATGCATAAAACTTCCAAATAAAAACTTGAGAGCCTCAACAGATCTAAGGACTCAGAGGAGCTCAAATAAAACTCATATCCTAAGTCCTAACCAAGCAGAAGCTCAATATAGGAAAAACAAGCATAAACCATGATGTTTTCTGGATAAGTCAGATAAACCATGATATGTTAAGAGGGTAGGAAATAGCTTTATGAGTTAAACTTCACAACGTAATGGTGTCGAAGTTACCTAAGATGACAAGAAAATGTCATATCGTAAATTTATGTAAGATTGTTCACCTGATTAAATGAAATTGGTATTGGTGGTCAGACTGTCTTTTTCAACAAAAAATAACAAAAATAAGTGACTAGATTGATTATCTACTCAATGAAGTGCACTTATTATGATGCGATTAATCAAGCATCTGTTATATACAACCTTATGCTAAGAAAACAGCAGGAACATAATATATGTAATTGAAATAGAGACTACTGCATTGTACTCTGCTGATACTGAATTTCATATTTTCACGGCAAAATAAGTTTCATTTTTTGGTTGGGCGAGGGGGAGGGGAGGGAAGGGAGGGGGGCGGGGATAGATTAAATATAAAGCGTTCCTGAGAAACAAGGCCATCTGAGTAAAAAACAACATAATCAAAAATTTGTTCAATATGATAAGGTAAGCACGACTGCTGTCACAAAAAGGGAAGAAGTTCTGAGCATTGGTTACCGCTTTTTCAGGGGTAGAGAAATGCTGCATTCTGTTCGACAGAATCTTCTGCATATGAATCAACGATGCCATTGCTAACCCTGATAACTCCGGAAATCAGTACATAAAAAGGGCAGCCCGTGCTCAAAGCATCCCGCATTCACGCAGGATCCAGGGAAGGGTTGCACCCCAAGAGGCGTGATATAGACAGCCTGCCCTAATGCAAGCATTAGTGGCTGCTTCCACGGCTCGAAACCATAACCTATAAGTCACACGGAGACAGCTTTATCGTTGCTCCAAGGCCAACCTTCCCGGAAATCAGTACTTAATGAAACAAAAATCATATCTCTAACAAGTTAGAAAGATTGACAACCTCAACAACGTCCACAACCACCAAGCCAGCCAAACTTGGAAGTGATTTTTTTGCAGCAACGTGAACTGCAACTGCACCTCCCATACTGTGACATAATCAGAAAACTCTAAGTCCAACTATTTATTGTTAAAGACTCGAATGATATGTGCACACACATTCACTCACAAACAGAAAGTGAGACAGAAAGAAACAGAGAACAATTCACAACTTATTCGTGGTACAGAAAACTTCTAACCTAAACATGCAGTTAATTAAAATAAAAAGCAGAAATAGTTCATTCATAGCAGGACTAAAACTTCTTTTGAGTGAAAACGTACAAAGGTTTACATCCTATTCGTATACTATCAAACCATTTTCATTCTTGGTAACAAATATATGGGAACAAATGACAAGAATCCAGACCAACCAAGAAAAGGAGAAAGGAAATAAAGATACATTTCAGGACTCTTCGGACTGGAAGAAAACGGGAAAAGGCGAAGAAATGCGGCACATCAATGAGTTAAAAGTTCTAAGCAACTATAGATCTGATGGATGCAACAGAGATCGATTTGGTTTACAGACCACTGCAACACTAATACAACTAACTCCATTATTAAATTACTGAGCTATCGCTCTTCCTCACAAAATAAAAATAAAAATACTGAGCTAGCGTAAATAATGCCAAGGAAAATTGCGTCCAAGTGAAAAGCTCTGCGCCTCGTAGCTTGCAGCTACTTAGCAACGATATAACACAATATCTTTATTTAGCTAAACACAACAGAGATGAGAGCGAGAACATCCTCCAAAAAATTTTGCATGAGCAGAAATGGCTTCTTTAGATTTGTATACCAAGGCCAGAATGTAATATACTATCTCCGAAGAACTGATCCTTTATTTGTCCTAAAACTGTATGATCTTGGAAATGATGTTTTCAGTTAGTATATCAACCTAAAACTTATTTGGGACTGATCTCCTATGGGTTGTTCCACTCAGCAGCGCATAAACCTTTAGTGCTATAAGTAGACATTTCACCACTAAATAAAGTTATTCCAAACGTAGTAACTAGTCAAACAAAGGTGTGAAAATTTGAATGCGAACTAACTTTATGAAGAAAGTACAACCTGTGGCCAACAAGCACAATTGCAGGCGGAGCATCTCCATACAATGTCTTCAAAACAGCGAACACATCACCGCATAGCGTCTGCAACCAACAACACCACCATAACATGGAAATTGGGAAAAAAGAGTTTCTCAAAAGCATCAAATACTGAAGCTCATAGTAGTAAGATACATCTTTCGAAAGTACCTCAATGGACAAATCAACGTCATTTTGTGTAGCTGACTTTCCATGTCCCCTGAGATCCATGGCTACTATCCTAGCTTTCTCCTTAAGTTTGCTTGCTGCCAATGCAAATGAGAGCCTGAGAAAATAAAACCGCACAGATTTAACATAATGTTTCTCGTTAATTGCCATTTCAAAACTGATGCTTAGCTACAAGATACAGATAGACGAGAGAGCAAGCAAAACCATTCACCAACAGGCTCTGTACCTTCCAACAGAATACAAACTTTCCAAGCATCTAGGAATTAACTAAGGAATTCACCAGAGATTGGCCACAATGAATAAGAACATGGGCACAAAGAATGTCCTAAGACTGTTTACTGACATCTATTCTCCTAAAAAGGGAGTCAATAAAGTTGATTCTTGAATAGAAGAGTGCTGGCAAAGCAACATAACTAACATTTAACTGAAACCCATAAAGTGGTTGTATTATATTCGACTATATTCTCAAAGACACCATGTAGATTTTTACTAGCTCCTTTTCTTCATTAAAGTTTCTCATTCGTAAGATGAAAGCTTCCATATCTCCCGAAAGTTTCTTGTGCCTTTTCTGGAATAAATTAAATAAACTTCATTTAAAGCACACCAGATGATGTCAAGAGCATATGAAATATAAATTTTTGGTTCAACCACAATTGGAGCTACGGACGTTGGGTTTCTCCTTGTTCAACGTCTCTTGGTTCTCTCAAGGACAATGGATTGAGTCTTAGCTAGATCAATGATACAGACATTTGCAGAGATAGGAACACAGCTTGGAGGACTATCTCAGCATGTCTTCTTTGATCTATTTAGAATTGGAGAAAGAAAGATTGTTCCATACTAGCAAGTAATGGTGTTAGGAGTAATAAGAAAATCATTTCTTCCTTCATTAATTGTTTTGGTCTAAGCAGTGAATTTTGCCTTTTAATCCATTAATATGCAGCAGTTATACTAAGGACAAGGTCTCCCCTTCAAACTGTATCAGCATACCATTCTCCAGTCCTTAACCATACCATTCGGAAACCAAATACTGTTTTCTACCAAATGTGAGAACAAAGAAGTGCACGTTTTCCCATTTGGCTCTTCCTAATTCCTATTTTTCTTAATCTTTCCGTAATCTTCTGCACTTGGTCTATGCTACATGGCCTCGGGTAGTAATGAAGCTTACAGATGCATGTCTGATTTTCCTAGGCTTTTTACTTAGAACATGTGGGTGATGCTAAAAATTTTGGCAGAAGAAAGTTAGGCACAGTATGCATCAATTTCAAACTAAACTATTATCATTTTAAATAAAGGAACTGCTATACATCTTTTTCTGGATCTTCTTTCTCAGGTTACTAGGTTAGGCCATAAAAACTGATCCTCCCCTTTTCCCCTCCAAGTCACCTGCTCCTAAGTCCAGCAAAGCTCCTTATTTTTGGTGGATTTTGTTGTATTATTAGTCCGTTAGCGCAAAAAAAATGTGCCATAGATACAAGAGATGTAAGAACAAACATGCAGAGTGAAGAATACTCCCTTACTTGAATGTCATGTTTCGAATTCTTTTATGGTTATGGTTTCTTAAAAGAAAGTTGAAATGTTCATTTCCTAACTTTTTAAATTTTTAGCAGGAAAGGTGAAAAAGTATGGTTCAAATGAAAGTTTGTTCCCATGTCACTTTTTGTTAGTAAAGACCAAAGAGAAAGCAAAAATTAAATGTCTTTGTTATGATCTAAAACTCATCTGGAACAAAACCTAAAGTGAAATGTGGCTCTACACTTTGTAAATACAACTGCTGAAACAGAACCATAAGAAAAGCTAAGTAAAAAGAGTACACCTACCCGCAATAACCACCACCATGCAGGCAAAAAACAACAGGCCCTTCAGTCCCTGCCATATAAACATGAAATACCTGAAATGACAAAGCAAATAAAAGATGATCTTGCTACTTGACTACGAAAAAAAGAGCAGAAAAAGAGTAGTAAGGAAAAAAAACAAAGTAATACTAATATACTATGATAAACTCTCAGGCAGACAGAAATATTTTTCTCAAGAAACAACTGAGTTTTCAAATACTAAGAAAATTCAACAGAAGTTAGAACCAACATCGTCTGAGTCCGGGATCTGAATATCATCTTCTCGATCGAAATAATCTGACCAGTCTAAAGGTGCATATTTCTGTGAAGATGTCCTGCAGCAATAATTAAGACAATTTTTCAGTCAAAAATATGTGATTAATAAAAAACAATAAATTTCGTGGACAAAAAAAAAAAAATCTACACTTCTACCATTCTGGTGTTTAATTGCAACAAAGACACCTTTGTCTAACCTAAAGCTCCTAAAAGAGCTCCCCGATTACTAATATGCTGGCATCAAGTAGAAGTTTTTAATTTTATTAAGTACAATATAAATTTCACTAAACTGTACTTGAGAAGTGCATATATATTAACAGAAAAAAGTATTGAGTCTGTTCCTAACATTGTAGGGAATAGGAAAGTTCCAGAAAAGAATTATCATTGTTTCCAATAGTCACATTACATTACACCAGGAATTTAACAATTTGTAAACATCTAGAGCAAAAATTAGCTAGAATCTCGTCTTCAAAACACCTGCAGTACAGCAGTAAGTACCTTGGCGATTCTAGGTCCCTCATATAAGTGTTGTCAAAGGAAAAAAAGCTTTAAAAAGCACTCTAGATCTCTTGGCGATTCTAGGCCCGTCTAGATCTGTTGGGGCTTTAATGCAAAGTGCAATTAAAGTGTGGGATTTAGTAAAAAAAATGTGCAATGACGAAAAATAAAAATATATTTTTAATGCAAGAAAAAAGTTACAAATTCATTCATAGTGTTTTCATTAACAATTATTATATCTCTTTGCTGATTATATTTTTATTTTTTATTAATGCTTTATTGTTTATATTTTTATTTTATCTCACTATGGGGTTACACCCAGGATCTGCGCTCAGCCCATTCTTATTTACCCGGTGATGGAAGCAATGACACACCATATTCAAGGGGGAGGTGCCATGGTGTATGTTATTCGCTGATGACATAGTTCTGATTAACGAGACGCGAAGCGACGTTAACCAGAAACTGGAGGTTTGGAGACAGGCCCTTGAGTCTAAGGGTTTCAAGTTGAGCAAGACGAAGACGGAATATCTTGAGTGCAAGTTCAATGCCGAGTCGAGGGAAGCAGGCATGGACGTGAGGCTTGGATCACAGGTCATTCCCAAGAGAGGCAATTTCAAGTACCTTGGGTCAGTTATCCAGGGGATAGGGAGATCGACGAGGATGTTACACACCGTATAGGGGTGGGGTGGATGAAATGGAGGTTAGCATCTGGAGTCCTGTGCGACAAGAAAGTGCCATCGCTTCTCGAAGGTATGTTTTATAGAGCGGTGGTTAGACCGGCCATGTTGTATGGGGCTGAGTGTTGGCCAATTAAGAACTCACATATCCAGAAGATGAAAGTAGCAGAAATGAGGATATTGAGGTGGATGTGCGGGCACACTAGGATAGATAAGATTAGGAATGATGATAGTCGGGAGAAGGTGCGCGTGACTCCCATTGATGATAATATACAGTAAGCAAGACTCAGATGGTTCGGGCATGTACAGAGGAGAATCCCAGATACTCCGGTAAGGAGGTGTGAGCGGCTGGTTGTGGAGGGAACGAGAAGAGGTAGAGGTCGGCCTAAGAAGTATTGGGGAGAGGTGATCAGGCAGGACATGGCGAGGCTTCAGATTTCCGAGGACATGACACTTGACAGGAAGATGTGGAGGTCGAGTATTAGGGTTGTAGGTTAGGAAGTAGTTGAGTCTTACCTTACTTCGTACCTTTGTAGGACTCGTCTGATAGGGTTTTTTATAAGATCACTAGTGGTAATGTTGTATCTTACTATTTCGTTTTTTATAGTGCCGGGCATATTTACTAGCTATCGATTTTGCTTTGCATCTCTTCTAGATTTCATGTTGTTTCTATTTTTCCTATGATTTCTGTGGTGGTACTGATATTGTCTCCTTTTGTCCTTTTGTCTTCTTGAGCCGAGAGTCTTTCGGAAATAGCCTCTCTACTTCTTCGGGGTAGTGGTAAGGCCTGCGTACACACTACCTTCCCCAGATCCCACTAGTGGGATTTTACTGAGTTATTTTTGTTGTTGTTGTTGTTGTTGTTGTTGTTGTTGTTGTTGTTTATTCTCAGCTTCTTGTCTTTTTTCCTTCTTTTCTCCTTTTCTTTTTTCTCGTTTTCTTCTTTTTTCTCCTTTTTGTCTTTTCTTGTTTATTTACTTTTGGTCCGAATCTTATTATTATTATTATTTTTATCATAATTAATTTCACACTTAATTTTGACTCCTTTTTTTTGCTTTTATTTGTTTTCTTTATTTCTTGTTCCTTTTCTAATTTCATTTAACTCCTTTTTTTATTTTTTTTTCTCTTCATAATCTAATTTCATTTACTGTTTTCACTATTTTTTATTATTTTTTTTATACAATAAGAATAAATAAGTGATATAGTAAATATTTGTTCACTATTTTTTTTTAAATATAACTAGTATAACATACCTTTTGTCTTTTTTCTCATTTTTCAATTCAAGTATTAAACTGAAATAATATCAGTTGTAGCTTGATCTAAGTTACTGAATATCACACTGACTGATGATGAGTACCATAAATTACATAATCAGATTCTAAGAATCAACTCGTGATTGCCATGCAAACCTTAATCTCCTTCCCTACAAATATTAGTACACATTTTACCATTGAAAATAGCACAAGCAGTTATGGAGCAAGAAAACACAATCTTCAGCCACCAAATCTCCATATATACTAGTTAGAATAGAAATGATAATAAAATATTGGAAAATGCAATAAAACTATGGGTGTGTTTGGTACGAAGAAAAATATTTTCCATGAAAAATGTTTTCCTACAAAATATTTTTATGGAAAATGAGTGGTNGTATATTTTCTTATCAGTGAACAATGTCCTTACAAATGAATGGGATCCCCCTTTATATAATAGGAGAGTCCTAAATAAGGTACACTTCTAATTATAGTAGGAAATCGTATTTGACAACTGTTTAACAGCCGAAGACCAATCCATTCCAAAATTCACGCCGTGATATCCGGCTCGTTGCGGATATCTCGCTCTTTCTGTTACTGAATCATAACGACATCATCCCGAAGCATGCCTTCTTCTGACCCCGATAAGTGATATCGACCTCGACCTTGGAAAAAAACTTCGACCCCGAGCTCGACGTCTTGGTCTTCCGACGTGATATCATTTTTTCCATCGAAGAACGAAATTGGGTAGCCCGATTTCCACCGTATATAGATAGTCCCCTCGTTTCTTAGAATAAAATGATAAGAAATGACTTGAGCCTCGATTTTCTGGGAATGACCCGACCGATCGTTTTAGGATTTAGTATTACGTTCAGTGATTTGAGGTCTCAAATAACTTCATATGATGTATTACGACTTGTGTGTATAGTTGGTTTTGATGTTTGAAAAATTCGAGATTTATTTGGAAAAGAAATTTTCATATTTGGAAGCTTTAAGTTGAAGAATTGACCAAGGTTTGACTTTTGTGTAAATAGTCTCGGATTTATATTTGGATGATTCCAATAGGTTCGTATGGTGATTTTGGACTTGGGCATATGTTCTAATTTTGATTGGAGGTCCTAGGTTGAATTGGCTCTTTTGCAAGAAGGTTGGCAATTTGAAGATTTAGAAATTTCTTAAGTTTAACCGAGAGTTGACTTTTGTGGATATCGGGTTTCAGAATTTAGTCTCAGGACTTAGAATAGGACCATTTTTTCATTTAGAACTTGTGTGAAAAGTTTGGTATTATTTTGAGTTGGTTTGATGGAAATCAGATGCTTAGTGGTGGTTTATGAAGTTCTTGAGTTTCACTATGATTTTTATGTCATTTTTGGTGTTCGATTCATAGTTTTTATATGTATT